TGCTGTTGTTGCTGTTGCTGCTGTTGCTGTTGTGCGGAGCCATGGTGGTTGTTGTGTTCGTGGGCTTCGAGGAGGGCGGCTTGGGTTATTGGGTTGCGGGAGGAGGTGTACCAGATCGAGTGCGACAACCCTAACCCTAACCCTAACCCTAACCCTAACCCTAACCCCCAGGCTAAGTATGCATAGTTCGTGGATATGTATAACGGCCTCTAGTTGTGTATTCACCTGGCAACGCCGTTAGAATATTCTCTGTCTTATTTTGATTCAAAAGTTCTTTATTCTCATTTTTAACCTTTAGCATCTATAGTTATAAACTCCTTGAACTTCCTTTATTATATAACAATAAGCTAGCAGGCTATCATTGAAACACTATCATGCCTTTATTAATACCCGCTCTTAGTACACTACTACTAACTGAGGCGTTTAATCTTGTCCTCAAGCTAACTGGAATAAAGACCCAACAGTAGCTGTCTCTATCTCGGGAAACCTCTGGTTGAGTGGGTTATCAGGCTTGAGATTGCACTTGCCCGAATCCCATATAATGCCAAAGAAAGCCAGAAGCCCTTGTAGTTGGTCCTTAGGGAAATGAGGGTAGTAATCCTTGTGTGCCGGAAGTTCACAGACTTCCCCGGCTTGCAAATTCCCCATCGAGTCGTGCGTAACGCTGAACTTGGGTCCCTTGTTCTTTTCTGCCAAAGCCACGACCTCGGTCAGAGTCAACCTATCCCCAATGACATACATCTCCTTCTCCCAGTGATCCAGACCCAGAGCTTTGACGACAAACTTTGCAATGTCGAAGCTGTACGCCAAAACAACAGGAACTGACCCAGAGCCTGGAACGGTAGCCGTGTTGTGCATCATGTCGACCAAAACCACTAGAGGCGTCATATGCGACTTTCCGCGAGGCATAACGAAGTAGTCGGAGAGAAACCCATTGAGGAAGCAGATCCATTCGAGCGAGGAACCCTCGAGAGCTTACATGGCAAGTACTTTGCCTTCTGCAGCTAGGAATACCTTCGACTCCCTGGACAGAACAAGTCAGCGAGGTTTCATCTTGGGTCAAGTATCCGTACTCTGGAGTATAAGTAATCCCCCACGCATTTGCGATATATCGCCTCGTCACGACCGACTTGCTTGCGGCTTGAATGAGATTAAGCTCAGACTCTATACCAAGAGACGAAGTGAGCGTTGAGATAACGGTGCTGATTGAAAAGGTCTCCAGTGTACTACGGAGCTGGTTGATATCCGAGTAGTCGACGGAGATGATACGGGCTCCAATTTCAGCTTCATTCTCGGGGTTGGCCTGCGGTAGACAGCATAAATATCCTCGAAATACAGATACAGATGCAGGGGACGGAAAGATTACTCACTGTTCTGGCGAGAATCACTACGTTGTGAATTCCGTCACGGACAATGGTCTCCACGATAGTGCGGCCCATAGCGCCTGTCCCTCCGGAACCAGGCAGTCTGTTCATGGTCCCCGAAGTTGCTGACGGTACGACGCTCATGGTCGGCACCCAGTTTCCATACCCAGAGCAAGGCCGCGAAGGTTGGCAAACGTTTGCTGCCAAACCAGAGTCATTAGCTGCACTGCTCCACAATGACTACGATCAATGGCACAACACGGCAAGACAGATCCTCGATCAGTTATGCAGCGTTCCAAATCGACTTCTGAGTTGGTCGTTTGACGAAACGCCAAACTTGCCTACTTGGTCGTCATTGTCCGGAAATGTCATCATCATCGGGGATGCCGCTCACGCTATGCCAGCATCCTCCGGGCAAGGTGTCAATCAGGCCTTGGAAGATGCTTATTCTCTGTCGAGGCTTATCGCTGTAGATTGGACAAGGGAAAATTGGCCACTCAGCCTTGAGACATGGCAATCTTGGCGACAGACAAAAATTGACCGCGTACTTCTAGACAGATATCGACCGCGTCAGCTGATCTGGGTTCGACACTGCTAGGTCCGACGCGGTGGCTATTTGACTTGGACATAGAGAGCTTAGACGCAAGATTGGCAGCAATCTAGGATTAAGATCTTTTTTGTCGATTCAAGAAATCGATTCTACGGGAAGATTTCCAGGCACCTTTCGAAGAACAAGGCTTCATGTGTCAAAGTTGCTCCCGTTATTATCCTAGAACTTAACCATCTGGACTCAAAGATTATAGACTTGAAGCAAGAATGCAGTAGGGGCTTCGATCTTTCCATCTTCCAGCCCCCGAGGCTTATCTCTGTAGCGACGTGCGTACGATGCAGAATCTTGCTTACTCTGTCTAAGGTCTTTGTGGGATACGCGTGCAGGGTTAGAAAGGGGGATGACTTTAAGCAGTCCCGTATCTCCTTGGCCACGAGTCAGCTAACTTGCAACTTGATGCGGTCCAGTACGACTGTACAATCCTCGAGTACCTACGGAGGTACCCTTACATAACATAAAGCACGAAGTAAGATTGCGAAAACTTCATTGCATAGACATAATAAGTTCTTGGAATAACTACCGTCATAGTAATAGAATACTAAGTCTTTCAGAGCATGTCCACTCAGTCCCGCCTCCGTGTTACCGAGTTAACCTTAGTGAACATACTGAATCTATCCATGCCGTGTTTAGTCTTTTTCACCTTCCTCTTTTCTATCCTTTCTCGTTTATCTGATTGGCCAACCCCTATGTTGCTGACAGCGGCACAGCGAAACGTAGGTACTTGGCAAATGTGACCATGCCGACCAACATGCATGAACAATCTTATGAAAGAGGGGTAGGCCGTCGAACAGTCGAGAGTCATAAAAGACTCCTTACCGCGCCTGGTAAGTAGACCGATACAGCATCATTTTCCTCGGAAATTCGTCCTCTCTAACGAGAAAAGCACAACGCTTTGACCTCAGCCTGTATCTGGACATCGGCAAACGGCCCAGCATGTCATCAGCACCTGTAGCGCCCACCGCAATGAGCTCGCAGTTTCCCAATGAGTCGCCAATCATTGTTGATGAACAGGTAAGCATCAAGGAACCGGTCATGTGGACTTTGGAGTTGATGAGCTATGATCTCTCCAGCTTGATGAAGACGCAACATCAGATGTCACCAGCGTTAGTCTCAGCTTTTTGCGTCTCGGGGATGTCTTACTAAAGATACATTGATGTTTGTAGACCATAGCATCCTCAACGACTAGCCTTGCAGACTCAATGTTCAATTTTCGTGTGGAGAATGGGCGCACATATCATCGATATAAAGATGGAAGTAAGTTCCTTCTGATATTCTGTTCACGCCGCAAATTACCTTGTCTACTGATATGAAGCATCTCTGATCTGTAAAGAATACTCCTATCCCAATGATGAGAGGAAAAGTGACAGACTGGGTAGGTCAGCTTTATGAGCTCCAGCTTCCTGGAGCCCAATGTCGCTCACGAATCCTGCAGACCTTCAACATCAGCAATTCCTCCATTCTGTCGATGGAAAACTTGGCCTCTCACCGCCGAACCAAGATGACTACCCCGCCAAGCGTGTTCTCGATATTGGTACTGGAACCGGGATTTGGGCAATTGAGTTCGGTGAGCTCAAGCCCGAAGCAGAGGTAGTGTACATCACCTCAAGTCAATGAATCCATCCACTGATGATGATACTAGGTCATTGGCATTGACTTGTCTCCCCCTTTGGCCGAGTAAAACTCTCCATTCAAATACTATGACCTATGATTCCATAAACTAGTCAAGAGTGCCGCCTAACGTAACATTTGAGGTGGATGACATCGAAGAACCGTGGACGTTCTCCTTGCCATTTGACTACATTCACAGTCGAATGATGACGTCTAGCAAATCTGATTGGAGACGACTCATTCAAAATGCTTTCGAGTTCGTATCTTAGTTTACCTGTTCGCCTCAGAACCCCTTTTACAGACTCTGACCAAAACCAAAGTAATCTCACGCCCGGTGGTTACCTCGAGCTCCAGGAGATGGATCTCATGCCTCAATCCGATGACGGTAGTCTGAAACCCGACGCTGCGGTTGTGCGGTGTTTTGCCCTCCTTGGTAAGGCGGCTACGGTACTTAACCGATCCTTTCAAGACATCCCGGATCTCGTCAACGTGATGCAAAAAATAGGTTTCGTCGACGTCTCAATCAAGAAGGTGATGTGGCCAGTAAATACGTGGCCCAAAGGGCAACACTATAAACTACTAGGGCAATGTGCCCACGAAAATTGTATGTCCGAGATTGAGGATTGGACTATGGCACCTTTGACACACGGCCTTGGCTGGGGTAAACAAGAAGTGGAGGTCTTTTTGATTGAGCTGCGAAAAGAATCTAAGGACCGACGCATTCATGCATACTGGCCTTGGCAAGTCACCTACATTACCTTACCCAATAGGAACATATCACACTGCTGACTGGATCACCGTATAGTTATGCACTATATGGAAGAAAACCTAAAGCCAGGTGATAGATCATGCTTACGTAGCTTGCGCGAAGTCTCGATGAAACGAACTGGACCAGGCCACCTGCTTCTTAGGGTTAGTATTTCACCTGGCATGTTAATCTATCGTAAGATGGCCACATTCTTGTTCACTTTATGGGATATAAGAGTCTTTTGAAAATTAAACGAATAAATATCAACCTGCTTGCCTATGCCCCAGTCTGAGAAGTAGGACTCCCAGACCTATCGGTCGTCACAGATTGTGTACTGCCTTTGGAGGAACTTCCTCTATTCCACATTTCGAATTCCCTCGCTATGTCGTCCAGCCCTGTATCAACTGGAGACAGTGACAATTCCGTTGATGGGTCATCTGAGATCTTGCTGAACTTATCTCTTCTATAAGTCGGTTGGTATTCCTCGGAGGGTGTTGCATCCGTTGTTTTCTTTGGCTTTTTGCTAACCAAAAATCGTAGTAGTGGCCGAAGTGCAGGAAGGCTTGCACACAGAATGGCACACGAGACTTCAACTAAAGACCAATTGATGACGTCCACATTGTCCCAGGTAACATCAGATGTGAATGAAAGATGAACCAGAAATTTCAATCTGACCATACTAGTGACACATCCACTGAAGTACCGTCGAAATGGTCAGCGAGTTCTTTCCGTAAAGGAGCTGGCTACTTACAATGACCCTAGCCCAAATATGAGACTGAGCCAGAGTTTCTTCTTGGTACTGAGCTGAAGTCGAAGAAGCTCTGGAATGGGAAGAATAAGGATAGCAATGTCCTCAATGACGCTGAATACTGCACCAGAGTAGCCAATTGCTACAATATTCATGCATTTTCTAGATGGATCGTCGAGATTCCAGGTTGAGGTGACTGGCGTGCATTCGAAAATGACAAGAAAGAGGAATATCGCCGCGTGCAGAATCAAGAACAGAATAAAGAGTTGGGTTGTAAGATAGAACCATCGAGAAGAGAAGAAGATGCGCGAGAAGAAAAGCAGAAGTGAAATCTTAGCCATAATCTGGGCCAAGATATAAAGTTGTTCGCCAATATAGAACATCTGAATGAGTCTTGTGCTTGCCCAAGGTTCGACATGCCAGTAGTGCAAGCCAAACCCTAGGCCGGTTCCCGCAATTTGGATGCCTGTTATTGCGGCGAGAAGGACCTGGTATTGGTTTGTTAGTATGCGATTCCCATACGTCGCTCAATCTTCATTCTTTATATTGCATACCGTTGCTGCAATGATCATCCAATCATCCCACCAAAGTCGGTGGTCAACCAGGTATCGTGAAATGCATCGAAGTCCGACAACAGTGAAGGCAATGATAGATAATGATATTGCCACTGCTCTTGCTTCTTCTCTTCTTGACGGCTTCGGGAAAGTCGCACAGAGGTCTGTCTCAACTTGAGCAGCACCTATTGAGACATAAATCATCATCGATTCCATTCAAGGGTGGCGTCGCGCATGTTCTTACGCTTTTGGTCCTCGAAAGAACATTTCAGACGAACACATGACGACAGGTCTGCCTGGAGTTCGATGTCTATACACAGACAATTGGCGATAGTAGAGACAGATTCCAGCTTACAGCCCCCATGTTGGAGACCAGTAAGAAGGCAAGGAAGCTGCAAAGACGAATAGCATGTCAGTTTTGAAGTCCCGCAACTCTATCGTGCCCCGACATTTGAGCTACAAATACGAATTGAGACCAAGTTATGTGTACTCACCGCGCATGATGGAATCTGTGATACAAGGCTGGTGAGGGTGGTTTCCGCACCCCGTACGGACGAGAAGTATGGCGATAGTAAGAGCACAAGAAGGTAATGCTTCATCTGCCTCATGTTCGCCGTACCATTCCACGTGGAATGGAGAACGTTGCCAAACGTGGACCTGAAAAGTAAACGCAGATGGAGGAGAAAGGGCACAACGTGCCCACTCCCCAAGTGAAGAGGGCTTTTTTCTGTACATAAACAGTGGATGAAAATTGGGAGGATGCACTAACAACGGGTTATGGCGTATGGCGTCCCTCTGAAACGCCGTGCCGGCTGCTAGTGTCCAAGCATCTCTGCACTATTGAGTACTAAACTTGCGCCGTAAGACACCAGCTCTTGATGCCACTGCCAATTCCGTGTGATCTACCACCTCAGGAGAGGAAAAGGGGTTAATCATGCCGTGTGCCAGATGATATTGTCGTGTTCAACACGTTGCCGGTGCCAATGCAATCTACGGCAATTATGCCAAACGCGTCGCTTGCGCGCCTCTGTCGCCGTCTATATCCGGTTAGAGAGGACAGTCAAATTAGGCCGCCTTGGATATACCTACCTTCTGCAGGTAGAAGAGACCTGGGCTTTGAATAAAGGTCAGGGTCACATTGAGAGTCCAAATTAATATGGTGCCTTTGTCTGTTCAGCTTGGCTTAAGGATTTGGGCAAGGAGAAGTAATCATCAACACTGTCCTAGATAGCCTGTCAAGTTTACGTCGCAAATTCTGGGGGGCTTGCAGCGAAATAATCATACCCTCTTCTTTCGATCGTGACGCCCTTTTCATCATCTCATTCTTCTCATTTAGTCCTCCCTCTGTGATAGCTCCTAGCCCAGGACACTAAGTCTTGCTTTAGTTTCTAAGAAAAACAACCACAATGCTCCTCTTGATGGCACTTGGAAATATGTAAAGTAGCGCAGGGCCATATTCTAGCTGATTTCATGTGTTTCTATCACTAATTCGCTCGAGAGGAAGAGGCAGGCCCTACTAAGAAAAGGTTCGCATATGTGGACCGAGTTGTAAAGACTAAACTCTAGGTTTCCCTTGCTCTTCAACAGCTACTTTCATCGCTAACTCTTGAACATCGCCGCACAAGAAGGCAAAGTCTTTCGAGTAGGTAATCAGTGATATTCAAAGAGTCGTAGGCCATTTACGTTCCCCGAAAAGCTGGAAGATCCTGACTGGTATCATCCCAGTACTTGCTTTCGTTCGTAAATGTGATGAATGTCCTCTCGAACTATCTTCATCACCTGTGTACAAAACAAGTGAAAGCTTCTTTTCGTAATTACCATGAAGGATTGATGATTGTATCAGATTTGATTATCTAATAAAGTTATTCCCCGTCCCTGATTCCAAGTTTAAGCCGGTAAAGTGATAAACCCTTTAGACATAACATCTTGGATTCCTTTGAGCCAGACATTTGCCATTTTGACATATCCTCCGTCATTAGGATGCCTCGTGTCGGCAAGATCGTCGAGGGTCGGAGCGTCTGCGCTGCGCATATCAACCATCGCGAACTTGGCGCCGGATTGCTGAAACTGTGTTGCCAAGGCTGCGTACTGTTCGTTGATTTTGACGCGACATGCATCTTGTTCGGGAACTTTGTTGGCAAGAATTGATGTAAGAATCACAGTAGCTCCTGGACTCTGTTGATAGATTTTGTTGATCATGGCTGTGATATTCGCTCCTGCATCTGGTACCTCTCCACCTTTGTTGCAATTGTTGGTGCCAGCGTCAACTAACACGAGGTTTGGTTTGAGCGTAGGTACAGCCTTGTCGGCAGAAGCGGCTATCTGGTCAATTTTGAAGCCACCCGTTGCCTCGACGGCATTGTCGGGGAAGTTTCCATTGGCTCTTGTGCCCACGTACGTAGCATTCATGCCTTTAGAGACAAGTAAGTCCTGCAGGTCTTTCCGATAGCTGTTTCCAGTTGAAGACCCGGTACCGAAGGTTACGGAGGCGCCCAGCGCCATTATACGTAGTGGTACGGTCGGCCCTGGCTCTTGTCGTGGAGTATTTGGAGCCGCCATCGCGCCCACGACGCATATTATAACAAGTAAAGGGCAGCGCATCTCGAATTAGTTGGGATATGTGGACACCGCGATTAAGCAAATGAGATCGGGAGCTAAAGGCGACAACATTTGAGTTTAGATGCCAGGGACGTGTCTCTTATACCTGAAAGTTCTTTGAGTGAAAACTCAGGGTTCGGACGCTCTTGCGCCTAAAGGTATCATTCGAGCTGATGTCTGATACTCGCACGGAACCGGAAGCCGTTTCACTCCCGGCTGGCCTGCAACACAGACTTTCCGGCTGCAGCCTGCATCCCTACATCTCTTACCATTCTCCGTGTTTATGAATTTATTTCAACATTACAACAACATGCATCGCCTCGTTATTTACTAGCGGTAATAGCACTCATGAGTGACTCGTGGTCTTGATGCCTAAGACTTCCTATATGGCCAGCTTGATGCCTCGGCGACGAGATGACTAAATAAACTGAAGTCGCTAGTCGCAATGAAATGGAGGGTGGCAGGAGTTTTATGATCTTGATATTGGGCATTCAAGACTTCAAGACGTCTTAAAGTATGGGCTTTCGCATGTTCAGAAGAACAAATGTTCCAGCAGGGATGAAGCCATTCCAATGCGAAGCAAGCCTCAAACAAGCTTCCATGCTCCGGCTAAGAACACGATTGGTTACAACGGTCCAAGCTCGTCTAGGATGATTCGTCTGTCTAATGATAGGGAAATATTGAGACGAAGATCAGATGGCAGCCTTGGCATTCGTAATAGCTTGAAGCTGGGTGGCTAGGCCGTTTTATTCAATAAGAAAAAGAATAAGAAAACAAAAAGATTTGCCTAATTACTTCCTTATGTACCTTGGGGTTAGCCGTCTTATTGACCCCTGCTATACCCGGACCTAAGCGGCATCACCAATTACCTCCAGTCCATCCTCTTTTGGCTTCGAGAAAACTATAAGCTTTAGGAGTCAATCTCAAGATTCAACAGTGCAGTATTGCCGACGATCTTAAACGAAAGCTGCCAACAATAGGTTGGCATATGCCGATATCGCAGACAACAATCCGAATCAGAAGCGGCAAAGACAAGGGCCATCCGCGGTCGGGGCCCAATGCTGCGTAGTAAGCCGAAATGTGACCCTCAAGCGCTAGCGGTGGCTTTGCGGCAATCCCACCAAGGGCCAAATCCCGAAGGCGCGTCACGAATTCTGTCTATGTACACTGTCACGCTTGAGCTGCTGCTGCTGCTGCTGCTTGTAGCTTCGCCCTTGTTTGGTTAGTAGCTATCTGGTACGATCATAATATTACTCAAAGTAATCCCCAATGGCATGGTGGAGGACATGTGCCACTTTCCAGGACTCCACAGAATGTCAAGGTGGGAAAAGTTGCGCCATTTCGGCTTGGATTATCGTATGGCTGGGTTCAATGTCACCAGACGCAAAAGCTGGCAAATCCCCGGAGAAACATGTCCACTTATCCACCGGTAAGACCCCAAACCCTGGCTTTAAGCTTGGTTTGTGTAGTAGCGGGCAGTCGCCGATGCGGAGAGCGCGGGGTAGACCGGAGCAGCCCCGGTCACCCCGCCGGTGGTCTTCCGGCTTGACCATTGGCTCACCACCGTGCTGGTTAACTTATTGTTACCTACACCAGCACGATCACACACACAAAGTTGGCTGATGATGACCGCTATTAGTTACCGGGTAAAGTCGAGTCATTAATCCACTCTCTGCAGGTGCCCATGAATAGGACCGATTGACCGTTGCCCATCTCGGGCTCTGCTTCACCGGCGATGACGTTTTCAATGCAATACTCCTGGTCGGTAATCAGCGATCGACGACCATCATCTTGTCTCGGTCTTTTTTTGATTTGCAGTCGACATATTAAAGTTCCTTCAAACTACTGCGCCGTCAATTTCTCGTGGCATTTCACCGGTGCCTTTTGTGATTGCCCTTCGAGATCTCAACGTGGCAAGGTCGCATCGCATTCATTGAGAACATGAAGATCGCAGGGTTCTTGCTTGTTGTTGCGCTTGTCAGCTCTTCGGCCGCGGCGAAGTCAAATAGCACCGCGCCATCTGAGGTGCCATACTACGGAAGAAGTCCGCCAGTGTACCCATCTCGTAGGTCTTCGTAACCATTAGCTAAATTCAGACTTGTCTAACATGAAGCAGCCATTGGTAATGGCTCAAGCAATTCTGGTTGGGCCGCTGCCTATCGCCATGCCAGAGCATTGGTCTCCCAACTCACGGTCGAAGAGAAGGCGAATATCACTCGAGGGTGGACAGGGACATGCGTAGGGAATTCCGGCGAAGTTCCTAGACTCGGAATCCCGGCACTGTGCTTTGCTGATGCACCAGACGGAGTCCGCGGTCAGGAATTCGTTTCCGCATTCCCGGCCGGAATCCACGTTGCTGCTACCTTTGACAAAGCCCTGTTATACAAGTATGGCAAGGCACTGGGCGACGAGTACTACGGAAAAGGTATCAACGTCGCTTTAGGGCCGGCTGCTGGCCCTCTCGGGAGGGTTGCTCGTGGTGGGCGCAACTGGGAGGGACTGTCAAGTGACCCTTACCTTGCAGGCGTTGGCATGGGCGCAATTACGCGCGGCATCCAGAATGCCGGCGTTATCGCCACTGCCAAACATTGGCTCTTGAATGAGCAAGAGTATCGGCGTCGGGTATCCGACCTGGGAGAGGCGATCAGTTCAAACGTAGACGACAGAGCACTACACGAACTCTACGTTTGGCCCTTCATGAACTCTCTCAAGGAGGGTGCTGCCTCGGTCATGTGCTCGTACCAGAGATCCAATCACTCTTACGGCTGCCAGAACTCTAAACTCTTGAACGGCATATTGAAGACCGAGCTCGGCTTCGAAGGTTTTGTTGTTAGCGATTGGGAAGGCCAAATGGGCGGTGTTGCCTCAGCCAACGCCGGGTTGGACTTGGTGATGCCGGACGAGGGGTTCTGGGGGGACAAGCTGATCGAGGCTGTCAACAATGGTTCTGTAACCGAAGATCGACTATCCGACATGGCCACGAGGATCCTCGCTGGTTATCACTTCCTTCATCAAGAGCATGCCTTCCCTGCTCCAGCAGTGCACTCGAATCTGCAAAAGGCTTACCCAGTCGATGTTCAGGATGATCACGCTTCTTTGATCCGTCAAATCGGAGCAGCCGGCACAGTCTTGGTAAAGAACACCAATCATACGCTTCCGCTCAAGAATCCCAAGTTCCTGTCTATCTATGGTTACGACGCAACGGTCAAGGCGATCCCTTGGGAGAACCCAAGTCGCTATGGCGGCGGTTACGAAGTCAACTTCGGCTGGGAAACATTCAATGGGACACTGATCACCGGTGGTGGCTCTGGCGGCAGTACTCCCCCATATGTGGTCTCACCATTCCAGGCGATCCAAGAGCGAATTTCCAAGAATCGAGGCATCCTACGATGGAACTTCTACTCTGAAAACCCCTCTCCACCCTACGTCAACTCTGAAGCCTGCCTTGTTTTTATCAACGCGTATGCCTCTGAGAGCTTTGATCGCCTGAGCCTCACGGATGAATTCAGCGACAACCTTGTGCAGAACGTAGCCGCAAACTGTTCAAATACTGTAGTCATGATTCACTCGGCCGGTAAGTGGAATAAAGCGAGACATATCTACTGCAGGACCCTTTTGGATGCTAATGAATCCCAGGCATTCGCACTGTTGATGCGTGGATCGAACACCCTAACGTCACTGCTGTCCTTTTGCCGGGCTTCCTGGCCAGGAGAGCGGCCACAGCCTTGTGGACGTACTATGGGGCGACATTAATCCATCTGGAAAGCTGCCTTTCACTATTGCTCGGCAGGAGTCGGACTATGGCAGCCATCTGAACTCCAGTGCCTCGGATGACTTCTTCCCTGACAGTAACTTCACCGAAGGCCTGTACATCGATTACCGTTACTTCGATGCACACAATATCACTCCCCGCTATGAGTTTGGCTTTGGCCTCTCATATACCACTTTCAGCTTTGCTGACTTGTCCGTTGAGCTCACGGCTGACGCGGATACATCAGAGTACCCCGATCCCAATGTGTCGATCGTGCAGGGTGGCCATCCATCACTGTGGGAAACCGTTGCAGTTGCAAAGGTGTCGCTCACTAATACCGGTGACGTGGATGGAGCAGAGGTTGCACAGCTGTACATCGGAGTTCCGGGTGACGACACGCCTATTCGACAGCTTCGCGGCTTCTCCCGCGTCTTTCTTTCAAGTGGGCAGACGCAGTCGGTCGCCTTTGAACTCACCAGACGTGATCTTAGCATCTGGGATGTCGAAGCTCAGCAATGGCGTTTACGCCGAGGAACTTATAACGTGTGGTCTGGATCATCGAGCAGAAATCTGGTTCTGCAGAACACTATTGAGATTAAGTAGCGTACTATAGTTTACTTGGTAATCAGCCCTTGAGGTAATCTTGTCAATAATTCAATGATATGAGTATTTCATCTCATTCTTGCATCGTGTCCTGACTCTTTGTCTGATGATCTCGCTGATAGGAAAGTCTTGCTGCGTCGAGTTCATCTGTTAGGTGTTGACAGGGACGGTACAAAATAATTACATGTATTGGCATGATCAGCAAGCCACATGAATGCCTCGTCCCCTGCATGTCATCGATGCGACGCCACATAGTTTACTGCAGATACAGCCCCCCTTAGCCACGTCCGGCCTTAAGTCCCCAGGTAAGTAGATTACACCATGCGCTGACTAAGGCCAACTCATTTCTTTACTCTTCTACCTTCCCTTCCTCATTCTCTTCTTTTCACCACGGCAAGCTTCTGCAAGAGCCCTCCGGCACCACTATAAACACCTCCTACCTCAACATGCCTTCGAAATCATCTCAGATCAATGTAGATGCGGAGATCGTCTATGAATATCATCGAATGCATATGGCTGTCAGTCCTGCTAAGGCCATCTTCTGCCTTTGTAGTCTCGACACACGAGTAGCTACACGCGCAGCACAGCTTTTCCTCGCTGGTTATGGAGAATATCTCATCTACTCTGGCGGATCAGGGAAACTTACGGCAAATCGTTTTGCGAAACCAGAAGCCGAGATATTTGCATGTATTGCCAGGGAGTTAGGGGTTCCGGCCGACAAGATCATCGTGGAGCCAAACTCGAGCAACACTGGCGAAAATGTTCGGTTCACCCATGCCCTTTTGAAAGAACTAGAGCTAGAGGCCACGAGCTTCGTGCTGGTTCAGAAGCCATATATGGAAAGGAGAACATATGCAACCTTCAGCAAACAATGGCCGGACCCCAAAACAGTGTTCACTGTGACAAGCCCTGAACTGGGATTCGCCCAATATCCGAATGAGGAAAACCCTCGTGACTTAGTTATTGAGATCATGGTCGGGGACTTGGTGAGAATCCGAGAGTACCCAGCAAAGGGCTTTCAAGTTGAGCAAAGGATTCCTTCCGAGGTCTGGGAGGCAAACCAAAGGCTCATTAACGCTGGCTACGATGGGCATTTACCCTGATTAATGGCCCATTTTATTGATAGAATCTTGCAAACCATTTTCTTTAATTACGGTTCTGAATGGAAGCTCCTTCTTAGGATACCTCAGATTATGGCACCCCTCGTTCCAAGTGTTCAATATGGCTTCCTCTTAAGCCTTTTTTCACTCTTCATCCGGGCTTCCAAAGTCCGCCCTTGCTTTGGATGCAATGTCATCGTCGACAAGCACTCTTACGGCAAGCATTGCCATACCCTTGGCGCACATGAGAGCCGCTTTGTGAGCTTCGTCAGTTGCAGCAGCGGCCGCGAATTTGGGATTGTGGCCTGCCACATCTGGCGAGGTCGGGATGACGAAGGCGCCGTGGAAGCTAGGCACGTGATAGGACACGTTTCCCATATCCGTCGAGGCGTTGAATGGTTTTGCCTGATGAAGCTGTATTGTCTGACCGATCGCGGCCATATCTGCCACATATGTCTTGCATAGGGTGTTATTAGCTCGTAGGTTCATGTACGTCGGCGCCCTGTAAACACCGCATCAGTAGAGTCATAAGAATTGCAGCGCTCATAACATTTACACAATGTAGTTGATCTCGCAGCCCGTCGCGGCTGCGCCTGCTTCCAAGCATGCCTTAACCCTGTTTAACAGTGCATCGGCGCGCTCAATTGTTGGGCTGCGGACATTCCAGTTCATGCGGGTATAATCCGTGATGACGTTGGGAACGGTGCCGCCGACTTCGATTACACCATGAACTCTTTCGTCTGACTGAATTTGCTGCCTGAGGAGAGCCACATTGTTGTAGGCTGCTACAGCCGCATCCAACGCGTTCAACCCTTTCCATGGCTCGCCTGCTGCATGAGCGGGCTTTCCACGGAATTCAACGCGGAACTTATGGCTTGCAATGAGCTTAAAGCCTGCCAGCCCTGAGGAACCATCTCCACTACCGCCCTGATGAGCTGCAGTTGGATGCGCCATGATGGCCGCTGCGATATCCTCGGGGGGGTTGAAAGCACCGGCATCAATGAGTTTCGCTTTACCGCCTCCACCTTCTTCGGCTGGGGTTCCGAGAATGCGTAGGCGCCCAGGGATCCTCAAGTCGACGAGTGTGCGAGCAGCCCCCAAGAATGCAGCAATTGAGGACGTTGCAATCAGGTTGTGTCCGCAGGCATGGCCGATGTCTGGTAGAGCATCGTATTCAGCGCAAACAACGACTTGACGGCCGCCACTGCCTATTTCGGCCTCGAAGCTCGTTTCGAGGCCATAGGTATGCTTTTTGACGGAGAACCCTTGCTTTTCCAAGTAAGCTGTGAGGGCGTCGTGGGCAAAGAATTCCTTGTATGCAGTTTCCGGATTTGCGTGCAGCTGTTTGTTGACGTCGTTGTGAAGAGAAGAGTCTAGGTCATCGAGGTGTGCGTTGATGATCTTGCGGGCCTGTTCGAAGTCAAAAGCCCCTTGCACTCGTTTGGGACCCGGGTTGGCGCTCTGTTGCTCCCCAGCAGCATTAGCGGCGACCGGGGTTTGAATAATAGACATGGTGATAGGATTCGAAGCGTGAATCCCTTACTCGCAGCGAAACGATTTCAAGAAATGCCAAAGATTGGCGAGATAGAATTCGAGATGGAGGAGCCTCCTCGATGAATGTGAAGTATACAGCTCTTCAAAATCATTGACTGCTCATCAACATGTTTTAAAGGCCTAACTCCAACACGTTCATTTGTTCCCGTCAAGACATCTCCTGCGCACTGGTATGGAGAGCTTGCGCTCCGCAGCTGAGACGGGGGTGCCACCCATCGGCAATCGGTGCTTCTAGCCAGCCGACCAGGAGACCCTCCAGTCTTGACAATTTCCAGATAGGCACGGAAGATAGCCGATGGTCGGCAATTTTGGTTTGTTTCCATTCGATGAGACTTAACCGCTACTCACCACACGGTATTGCTAATGGCTAAGCTCATTACTCCGTACCTTGCTTTCAATCTGTCAGTCAGCTTTCCTTATCATCCCTTCCTTCTGCTGATATTATGAAATTCTCGTTCCACTTCCGTATTCCCTCGTCGGCTAATTCAATCATTCATGAGTTCCAGCGGCGGCGCGCCGGAGGCATTTCAGTCATATCATCCACAATTTCCACTCGAATTATCCTCTTTTCCCCAGACGCGCCTACGCAGTAACGTTGTTCATTTGGGAGTTCGGTGAACACCCTAGCCCTCGATCCCCACTCAAGTGCTTCAGTTGGAAGTCTCTACTCGCCGATACAGCCGACCTCGAATCAGTCGGTTAGACACTACCAATGAGCGCTTCTCCCTCCGAAGCCGACGGGAGCTCACCCGGCAGCACAAGCTCAGTTTCAGCCGACGGTCTCCCCATTATTACCGATGAACGGCCCCCCCTAGACGCCGCCGGATTTGTCGGTACCACCGCGTCCGCAGCAGCGGCGACGGCGGCGCGCACGGGCGAGGGTCGGAGTGGACCACGTTCGAGAAATGGGTGTTGGACTTGTCGCACAAAGAAGGTCAAATGTGATGAGCAGCGGCCAAATTGTCATCGTTGCACACGTCTGCGGCTTCTTTGCGACTATGCACCTCGCGTCAAGCTTACGAAGAGGGGCAAGACACGCAAAGATCGGCTCTTTTCGTCTCACCCCGACTCGTCATCGTCTTCCTCGTCGGCTGGAGGAGTTGGCACGTCACTCAGCTTGCCGACATGGGTGCAGACAATGTCTCAGCTCGATCAGTCCAAGGCTCTATCTTTGTTTAATCCGTCGGCTCCGGGGATGGGGGCTTGCTCACTTGATCTTTCGTCGGCTGATCACGAGGCAATCCGGTACTTTCGCACATCATTCGCCAAACAGAACCACACCAAGAATCCGGATTACTCGCTGTACTCCATCATGTTCGGCATTGCCCAGACCGATGCTATGGTCATGCATGTGGTACTTGCTCTTGGGGGGCGGGAGCTGGAATTCCGGCGCAACAAAAATGCAGAAGAGGCGCGTGGCCCAAAAACGCCCATTCAGCATTACTCTTCCGCCCTCCGAATGATGGCCGACACCATCGGAGGTGAGGACAATGGTCAGCTGGATCTTGATGCAGTCTGTACAGGATTGTATCTCATGCTTCTCTATGAACAAAAGTATGGAGATGGAAAGTGCCAGGGCTTGTCCAATCATCTCGTCGGTGCGAGTTTGATATTACAACACCGCTTCAAGGATTTACTGCTTCAATTACCGGCGCCCTCACCGGAGGCGAATCGGAAAAGCTTAGCCCTCACGAGGCGAGGACAAGACGCGAGTGGTTCCCGCCTATCTCTGTACTCGGCAAGAATGCTTGTTTGGATCGCGCTACATGATGCCGCTGCCGCTTCATACGGCCTTGGCGGACAACTCAACTGCGCCCTCCACAAAATCATGGGTGCCCTCGATGGCCAAGTTAGCAGCGGAATATCCAGCCCGTTTCAACCGCTCGACGCCTTCGAGAGGTTACACCGTTTCTCCAATCCACTTTACCGGAGTATGTGGGCTGATTCATACCCCCAAGCGGAGCTTCTCGACGACGTGGAGAATAGGAATGTTTATGCTCTTTTGGGAGCATGCGGCCAATTGCGCTTTATGATTGCCCAGCTCGCTAATCTCATACATGAAGATGATGCCTCGCAGCAACACCGCGTCATGGCTGTCGATATGACCATTCAACAAGTGGGTTGGAAATTCACTGAACTACTGGAGGTCGCAGCAGAGCTTTCCATCAGCACGAATAACTCACATCGGCTAGTAGCCAACATTCGCGGCATTGTACCTCACTATCATGCCGTCGTTCTTGAATTTCTTCGTTTGACGCGATTTGATGCCACGCCAATGCTCTCAGCTCGTCAACGAAACGCTTTGCGAGAAATCATGAATCTGGCTTTCCAGGCCTTCAAGCATGA